CACATTTTACACTGTAACCCAGGACATTCAGGCTGGGGATGCTGCGCTGCAGGACTGCCTGGGCAGCTCGTTCCGGATAGCGCCCATCGGTGCAGGTCTGCAGGACGCCGGGCTCGTCCTGGAGAACCTCTGCCTTGGAGGTGACTTCATCCAGCTCCTGATGGAGCTCTGGTCGAAAGTCAAGGAGAAAATCTCAACCCAGGGGTCCCGGTGCTTCGCTGCATCACTGAGCTAAGGAGTCCGTCCTGCATTTGCCTGAGCCCTTCTCTCCCCGGAGATGACACACCCCGGGGGAGGCGGGAACGGCCGCCCCGAGCCAAACCACCTTGAGCAGATCCTGCCCCAACGGGACGGTGCAAACAGCCGCCCGGGAGCGATTCTTCCGACCCCCTGGGCGCAGGCTGCGGGTGTCACCGGGCTCTCTCCCTCCTGACGGGGAAGGCCAGCCCTGTGGAGCAAAGGGGATTCCTGCTCCGAAGTGGAATTGTTTGGCATTTGTAAGATCTTGAACCTAACGAGGTGGAAAGCAAAGGCACCACGGCTGCGCAGGCTGCACCCCACAGCAGCGTGAGCAGCTCCCTTCCCAGATTCTTTTCCATCGTTTTTTCCATTTCCTGGCGCTCTGCCCTTGCCGTATCCAGCCGGTTCTGATTCAAAGTCTGCACCGTGGCCTTCGCCCTCCGCACGGGGAGAAATCCAGTCCCGGCTCGTTCCACAGCGCTCTGAAATGTCCCCCTGCCCCATCCCTGACCTCCCCTCATGAGCTCCTGCTTGCATTAGCGGCACAGAGGAACCGTCGCTGGGGCCGGGGCCGGCTCGGGCACGGCAGCGGCTCCGGGGAGCAGCGCGGGGCTTCGGGAGGCAGCTGGGGCCAGGGACGTGATGGAGGGATGGATTTGGGCTGCTCCAGGGGGCACTACTGTGGCTTGGGACAGTTACAGCCAGGGTGCTCTCCTGGCTTTAAAACACAGGCGCAAAACAAGAGCACCCCACAGGATCTTCGGGCGTCAGGGAGCTCCCCCCAGGACCGGGGAGGTTCCAGCCCCACGTGGAGCAGTGGAAGGGGCTGGATGGCGCCTGACCCTTCTCCAGTCCTGACGAGTAACGGGATTCTGCTGCGCTGGGACTGTCAGCCAGCCCTAAAGCCTCACACCGCTGAGCAGGCTCCTGGCTCGCTCGGCAGGGCTGTCACCAGCGCGCGGGACGTCCCTCATCAGCCGGCGGTCGGTCTCTGCCAGGCGGGCACCGCACCGCTTCAGCTCCTCGATGGCGTTTTTCTTCACATTGCCCAGATTCTACGGGAGTTTGTGGATTAAAGCGTGGCGGGTTCCACCCGTCCCACCTGCCCCAAGTTTTCTTACCGTCGTCTGCCGTCCCCGGGACACTCCTGTCCCACGGTGACAGCGGCCTCGCTGCCGAGGCACTCCGGCTTCCCCCTGCTCCCACGTTCCTTACTACCAGCTGCAGGATCACAGTCTCTCTGAGAACCACCTTTCCCCTGCTAAAAACCTGCGGTCATGTCCTCCACCGCCACCTTCTCTTTGCCAGACGGAGAAAATCTGATCGCGGCAGCCTTTTCTAACAGGTCACGTTCCCTAAATCTCATCCCTCCTGCTGCTACAGTCGGGACTGTCTCTTGGGTTCTCTTCATTTTTCTTGAGAGACAATACCCAGGTTAGATTTCACCAGCATTAAGTAGAGCAGCATAATTACCTCCAGTGTATTAATAAATAAACACGTGCCGTTTTGCAGGAGTGAGTCGGACCATGAGAATTTCCTCCACAAAGGCACCCGGGGTGACTATGGATTTGCTCCCTGCACCCCAGTGCTGGAGATCTGTCACACGTACTGTGGTAATTTTGATCTTTCCCAAGGTTTTAGCTAATTCAGCCTTCTTGAGTGCTAATGTCCTCTGTGTGTTTCTCTGGGGATGACGATGTCTCCGAAGGCAAGGGCGGTTTTTTTACCCAGCATCAACGCGACCGGTGAAACAAACAATCAAAAAGGCCTGTGCTTATTTCACGGTCCTCAGCGCTGTGCATCTACTCTCTCCTCTCATCTGTGGCTGAGAGAAACGTAAATAACAACCGAGAGACTGAACTCAAACCTTCTGCGGCCCCAGCCAAAGCCGCTCGCAGTCACAGGCCGGAGCCAAGCCTACAAAGCTCCCTGCCCTTCTCCAGTTCTCCCTCTTTATTCTCAGCGTTTCCCCACGGGTAATTTTCTTTTTGTGGCTTTTGCTGACCGTCTCCCAGCAGAAAGCGCTGGGTTAATGCAAAGGCAGCCCAGCGGGCAGGGACAGCGGGGCGGTGTGTAAAGGAATCTCTCCCAGCCCGGCTTGTTCTTCCCCCCTTTCTTCTCCTCCTCATCGGTGAGCGGTGGCAAAGTCAACCTGTGGGCTGGCGATTGCCTCTCCTCTGCTTCTGTCTTCTGCCCTTTGCTGTGGTCCTAAACTCAGCACGACAGTAGCACGGAAAAGGTGGGGAGTCAGAGGAGGTTTGTGAGCAGAGACCTCTCTGACCTGACCCACCCTTCTGACTCCTCTCTGCGACTCCTCTGGGGCTGCCACGTGTCCCCTCGTGCCCCTCACCAGCAGCAAGTCTCAGGCCTGCTCGAGAGACGCTGTGAGTGTCACGAAGCCCACGGGAACAGGAGACTTACCGCTCGCCCGACCTCCCTCTCCGGTGCTCGGGCCCAGGCCCGGCGCACCCATCCCCGCGCAGGCCCTGGAAGGAAAAAGCGTCACCCCAGGGAGGAGGCTGAGCCCCCCCGGGGACAAGCCTCCCTGGGTCCACAGTCAGAGCAAAGAGGCAGCGACACCCCCTGGGTTGTGGCACCCTTAGTGAACTCCCACTGTCACCCACCTCCCCTGCCCCTCGGGGACCCCCCTACCCATCCCCTGTGGGGAGCCCCATGTCCCACGGGGAGCCCTCCTGTCTGTCCTCTATGGGGAGACCCCCCGGGCCGCTCCTTTGTCCCATTGGGAGCCCCCCCTGCCCCCCAGGGATCCCTCCCCCGTACCCCATGGCTCGCCCGGGGATTCCCCCCTACCCTGTGGCTCCCC